CCCCTCGCAGTGCCCTCGCCCAAACAATAACCCCTTTTAAAAACTCCACGGTGGCAATGAGACAGACCTTTTAAACCTTTACGCAGCTGTTCAAATACAACATCATTGTCAGGTTAAAAGCCTGGCGCCTCTAACTGCTCTGGCTGCAGGATGTCGCCCGGCGAAGCTGGTGGTTTAAACATTACCTTTCTGCAGGGGTGGCTGTTTTTAAGCTGGGGGGGGGGGCGGGTAGGTGAGGAAGGCAGGAAAAAAAAACACCCAACTTTGGACTCTAGTCTGCTAAGGTCTTGTTTAAAGGTACTTTAAGGTACTTGTTTAAGCCACCAACCAGCATCCCGAAAATTGCTTTCTCACATGGCAGAGATCATGATCCCAGCCACGGCTAAGCGTGCCCAAGGCTGGACAGAGTGCCCGCTGCACGCGCTCGCGGCAGGCGCCCTGACGCCAGCCTGGTGCTCTAGCACTGCTGTCCCCTCACATCTCGGCCAGGGGAGCTGCCGGGATCTCGGTTGTCCAATTCTCCCTATCCACGCGAGAGGCAAGACTGTTTAATCTAATCGGGAATTTTATGCTCATCAAATTCCCTTTCATAATCTTTATTTATTTATACATGAAGAAAACATCCAGGCTAAAAAGCAGCGATTCCTCGAGGAGTGGGTAGGTCTGCGGCGAGCCAGGACAGGCAGGAGCTGCCTTCTGAATTTGGGGGCCTTTCTGTTTCAGCTCCGTTGGCTTTGAGCTCAAAGTCACCACCACATTGGATTTGGGTTTAAATAGATCTTCTCTACTCACAGGGGGAAAAAAAAAAACACGTATTTCAGATATAATTTTGAATCTATTATCACAAAATTCTATTTTATTCTTTTTCAAATTTCTGCCTTCAGACCAGCTCCTTGAGGCCAGACACTCCCAATATTTCAGAGAGATTTTATCATAAAAATTGAGCAAACCAGAAATAATACAAGAGAATGATCCGGGCTGGGGAGGATAGAAAGTTCGCCTAAGACCCTAAGGCTAAGATGAAGCAAAAGGAATGAAAGGCAGTGACTTTCTAGGCCAGCCTTTATTTTGCTTAGGAGTATTTAACGTAGCTGCATAGCTGCTGTTTTCGGTCATCCTTAGACCAGTTGGAGCAGTTACCATTAATAATAAATCAATATTGCACCATAAAGGAGATTAATGAATATCCATATTTGTACGAAGACATCCTTCTCCCTGGCACAGTTCTTTCTAAAGAAAAATTAAAAGGGTCGCTTTAGCAAGAAATTAGCATTTGTAATCAAGAAGTGGCTTGCATCTGCACTCTCCTGTCACCGGGAAGAAGAGCAGCGGCCCTGGGGGTTCCTAGGTTCACCCTGTATTTGGGCCCTGAGTGGCCTCAGGGCTATGCCACTCTTTGGGGACAGAGTAGATGGGGACAAATTTTAAAAGCTACTTCCCCAGGGCGCCCCTCTGGGTTGCACTGTGCATCTCTCAGCCAATGCGGGGAAAAAAAATCAAGAAGGCAAATGGGGAGGCTGGGGAAGCCACCACCAACGCATGAGGGGTCTATGGAGACATGCAGAAGCCCCGGAGCCTCTTTTGGTTACAGACACAAAAGACTCCTACTTCGTGCATTTTCCCTCCACTTCGGGATCTGAGACCTCAGCGACTGAAGATACATGGCCACACTCTGCCAGCCCCACACAGCCTGAACGATTAGGAGGGGTCAGATCTTCAGCCCCCAGAAGTCCTGGTCCAATCCCCCGGCGTTTTTAGGCCCCTCTTGGGCACTGCCAGGAGGAAAGGAGCTGCAGACCGCCAGGGCCAGGGCCCCCCTCTCCTCCACAAGGCTACAGGCGACCCCGCTGGAGCCGCCTAAAGAGGAACACAACGACATTTGGGGTGGGGGGGTTCTTACCCCACGTGGACTGAGGCCCGGGTTAGGCCCCGGGAAATGTCGCTTCACAATAGCTAAGCTGGACCCGAGGTCAGACAGGCGGGAGCCGGGGGTGCCCGCGGGGAACACCCACGCCTCTGGCTGGCGCCTCGCGGGGGGGGGGGGGCTCACGGCGCCCCAGCCTCCGCTGAAGCCGGTGCCAGCTCTCAGGGGTGGACCCAGGGCCTTTGGTCCAGGGCCTGGAGGGAGGAGACAGACAGAGGAGCCAACGAGGCCGGCACTAATTCCGGGGGTTGTGTGAGCTTCACAATGAACTTCGGTGAAGAAGGGACAGCCACCCTCCCTTAGAACGGCCCACGTCCTAGAGCCCTCCCTTTTGGACCACGGATGGTGACACACGCCCTCCCCAATGTCAGGGGCTTTGCAAAAATGGTGGGGGGGCGAGGAGGGCACGCGGCGAGAAAACTACTTCCAGGAGCTAGTGCAAAAATCAAACTCAGCGCTCAAAACCAGAAGCGGCTTGGAAGGGTGGCCAGGGTTCTGTCAAATGCAAAGCCCGTTTGCTTCCAATGCGTTCCCCATTCCACGACGCCTTGGAGTATAAACGTTTCTCTGACAGCCAGCCGCTTCCCGAAGCCGCATCAGCCCAGTCTGGCCCGGGCGCCCCAACTCATAGTCCCGCTTGCGGCTCCTGGTCTCTACTGGTAGCCCCGGGCGCCAGGCACGACCTGGGGCGGGGGGACTTCGTCACCCAGAACAACCCCCTCAGTCCCGACGCGTCTCGTTTTTTCTGAGACTACACTCAGCTAAGTTGCCAGCGCCCAGGTCTGTCTTAAACAAAAGCCTTTTAATCATCCCAGGCGGTCGGAGAACGCGCAAGGCGGACGCGGTTTTGGGGAGAGGGTGGTCCTACCCTTTTACCACTCTCCACACTCAAACCAACAAGAGAATTGATTTTCCCTAATTTAATTAACTCGCAGTGACATGACCCATTTTGAAATGCACATATTTGTCTTTTAAAAATCTCCCCTCGCCACCACCAAGTTATACCAAGGAATTTTTGCAACAGCTTTATCTTTAACGAGACAACGATTAGGTGATCGCTTGTTTCAGGAATCTGGGTAGCTCTCTTTTCTCCATCTTTATACAACTTCCCACGCCTCATGGCTGCTTAAAACAAACAAACAGCAAACAAACACCTTATCGGCTGCGTGTTTCTAACGGGCTGAGATTGCCTATTAGAATCCAGTATTGGAAAGATTGGTACCGTGGCCTCTCCGCCAAACGCGGCTTCTGGAACGTGAGCACGCCCCCGTGTGGCTCTCCAAGGCCATGCAAACTGGAAATGGTATCTCTCGGTTCGGCTTGCCTAAGGTGCTGGACATACAAGCTTGCTACATTTAGCCGTAGTTTGAAAAAAAAAAAGATAGATGGAGAGAGAAAGAAATAAACCAGTTTTAAGCTCCTGGAATGATCATACTACTAGGACACTGACATTTTAACGGACGCCCAGAATTCCAAACAAAGGAATCCCTTTCCTAACGAAATTATTCAATTGTAGGCTTTGTTTCTATTGTATCTTTCACCAAAGGTTGAGGGACGTTTTTGAAAACAGTATAAATATATCTTCTTTTGTTCCATATCATAGAAAGTGCAATAATTTGACAGGATGACAATTTTTTTCAAGTATAACGAATGTGTAAGTCTGAATAGAACTTCATCTTTCAAATGCCTGCTTTTAAAACCACAGCTCTTCATTAGAGCAAAGGAGACTGCTATCTACCACTCCCCCCAAAAAAACCCGCCCCCAGCATTTCCTAGCTGTATTAAAAGCATGCTGGTAGACATTTTAATCTAACTAGTATTTTAAAAAGAAGTCAATTGCTATTGAATTACACAAATGTTTGAAGGGAAATTAAGGTTATTGATCCTGAAATTAGGAATTTGCTGAGATTTATGGTGAGCCCCGATATGATTCTGTGTGGTCATAAATGTGTGTGGGGGTCTGGATGTCTGTGAGCATGTGTGTGTGAGAGTGGGTGGCGGCTGAATATCACAGAAGAACCTTAAGGCGCCTAATTATTCAGAAAGGTTAAAGGTGATGACCTTGACATTTTGGAAGTTCAAAGGCATACACTTATGCACTTATGTTTTTCCTTCCCCAAAAAAGCTTTGGCAATTAAAAAATTTTTGCATTTGGAAGTGCATGCCTCCTTGGAAGATTCGTGGAGTACTGTACATCTTATGAATTTATTTTGATTTGGGGCTGATGAGAGGTTAAGAGTCATAAGATTCACTTTGCTCTTTTCAGAGAAAGAGAAGCTTTTCTCACTCCTCCAGTTTATTGCACATTGCGGAAATCTCCTTTGGGCCCACCAGAAGGTGTATAATATAACCCAATTAAGCTGTTTAGAACTTTGGCTTTTATGGTGTTGTCTAGACAGTTCAAGGTTTTGTAAACAGCCTGGCCTGGCCCAGCAACACAAAGTGCAGTGCAGCCCCCACCACATTCTTTAACGTGACGCGATAAATGCAGTGAGAAGTGGGTCTGCAGCTCCCCCCCCACCCCACCGCCCTATTCCAGGGATGGGGGGGCTTACCTTCCCTGCTCCAGACCCACTGTGACATTAGCAAGGACCTCAAGCCCTGTCCACCACTGATAACTTCCTTTTAGCAAACATTTTTTTTTTTCCAATGAAGGGCTCTAATGGTGGTTTCTTCTTTTAAGGGACCCTGGCCCCTTGACACCTTGTTCAGAGCAAATTTGGATTTTCTAACCAGTTTTTTAAAAATGGTTTTTGTCTTTTCAGAAATTCCAAGTTCACTAGACTGGAGGGGGTGGGGCAAGAGATTTGCTTCTTAGATTCCTGCTGCCCCAGCCTCATCGCCTGGAGAAGGCAGCACCAACATGGCTGGGTCACATCCTCAATTCAGAAATTCATCCCTTAAGTGATTTAAAAAGCAGTGTAGCCTAGAGGAGGTGGGAGGGAACAACTCTTATTTTAGCGAAAGTAAAAAGCATTTCACTTGATTTTCAGTTGCATGGAGGAGAAGGTTCTGGCCACTAAAATATCCTACTAAGACACTAAACTTCTTCAAAGAGGAAAATTCATACAGTGTATTGAAGCTGTAACCTCCATTTTACTAGAAACCATTTATTCACACAAAAGATAGTGACTCATGCCTTGATAAGACAGACCAAAGGTACATTTCCCGGAGTTTAAATAATCTGCAATTACCAAGGGGAAAAGACAGGGTCCCTTAAACTCAGAACAAAAACAAGCGCCTTCCAGCCCGGCGGCCTAACTCTCTACAGATCCCACAGCGTCCCCACGGGACCCAGAGAGAGGGAGGGAGAACAACAGCACATTGGCGGTAAAATTGTAAAGGGACGTTTGCATTTACCATTTTCCCCTTATTAGGATCCGTTCGGCCAAGTCCCTGGCCTCGTCCGCAGGCGGCAGTGGTCGCTGGGAGGTCCGGAGTTGACCGTGGGAAGGAATCGTGGAGTTCCACAGAGAAGAGACGTCATTAAACCCAAAGACATTGGGCCTGCCGAGAGCAGGCTGGTGGGGAGGAGGGTGAGTGAGTGGGGGTCGGGAGAGAGGGGTGCTTTCTGGAGCTCTCAAAATAAGGGGTTTCCAGTGAAATACTGCAGACGGTCTCTGTTCAGTTTCTTTTCTTTCATCCTGCGATTCTGGAACCAGATTTTGACTTGCCGGTCAGTGAGGTTGAGCATCCGAGAGAGTTGGAGTCTTTTCTCTTTGTTTATGTACACGTTAAAGAAAAACTCGCGTTCCAGTTCGCGGATCTGGTACTTGGTGTAGGGACAGCGCTTTTTCCGGGACCGCTGGGGGGCCACTGCAAGGCAAAGAGGCAGAGGGGTGAGAGAGGCCGCCGCCTGCCCACCCCGCCCGTACGCCCTGCCCGTGCGAGGGCCAGGCCTCGGTCCGTTGGGGACGTCCCCTGCCGCCACTGAAAGGCCTCCCTGCGTCGTGGGGGATGAAATATGGGCGGGCATAGGAGAGAGTGCGGGCGTGGACCTGTGCTCACGCCCGGACACACACACACACACACACACACACACACACACACAGCCTGGCACCGAGGTGGGGAAGCAGGGGGCGAGGCTGGCTCTGAGCTGGAACCCGAAGGGAGAGAAACATGAGCACGCTGGGGCATCTGCTGACTCCAGCCAGCAGCGCGCGTCAGCCAGCGGCTTGGATAAAGTCCAGTTTAAGGATGAAACTCTCCCCACCCCCTACCATCCCTTAAAAGCAAGAGGCTCGAGTGTCCACACTCACAAATTGACTGGAAATCGCTCCTCCCTGCCTCCATGGTCTCTAGGACCACCCTCCCCCCCAAACTGGGAAAAGCTCTCTGCAGCGATTAATGTCCTCCTCGAAGTCTACCTTAAGCCCACCTAAATTGGTTTCCTATCGTAAACACGCTTTACAACGGCCCGGGAAATCTTATAGGATGTATAAACCCCTTCGAACGCTTATAAAGTAGCACATAAAACGGCGCAAGCAGAGGGAGGCCCCCGCCCCGCCCCCCACCCCCCGCGCCCGCGGCCCCCGGGCCCAGCCGCCCACCCCGAGCCCGGTGCCTACCTGCGCCGCCGCTCTTCTCAGCCCCCGCCTCCCCCGGGGGCCCCTCGCTGTCGCCGCCGCCGCCTTCTGCCGCCCCCTTGGGCTCTGAGCCCGGGGTCGCCTTGGCGCAGGGACTGCCCCCGCCACCACCGGCCCCCGTCTTGGGGTCACTCTTGTCGGCAGCGCCCTCGGGCTGCGGCGGCGCGGGCGGCGGAGGCGGCTGCGGCCCGGCGAATGGGGGCCCGGGTGCAGCCTCGTAGAACTGGTCGAAGCCCTGCGGCAGGATGCCGTTGCGGCCCACGGCGCTGTAGAAGTTGGAGGCGGCGCCCGTGGGGCCGTGCGGCGGCCCGGGCGCGGCGCACACTGGCTCGGGCGCCTTGAAGAGCACGTCCGGCCGGCGGCCCGCGG